CTCACCTTTATTCGCGCAGATAAAAAAGAATTCTCGGACGCGTCGTGAAAGCAGCGAAAGGGACTTATAGCTCGGAGCGCCATGATATACGGGAATAATTAAAGCGGCGTTAAACCTGCTACATATAGGATTATATCTCCGGCTCCGGGACGACAAAATAAGTCGGTGTTTAGCCGGAACGGGATCAGTGAAAGTTTCGATCGGCGTAGGCGCTTAAATTTCTCACAAATCTGTTATTTACGTGCATTTCTTGCGCGTACACTCACGCGTACGTTGTAAGTCTATAATTCTCCGCCATGCATGCCCGCATGCACGACGGCTTCACGTCTGACATCCGCAATGCCCGATAGCGATGTAGCGGCGGAGCAGGGAGAGACATTATTTACGAGAACACTCTCGGCGCGTTTTCACGACAGTTTTCACGCGCACTTTGACGTACTGCCGACGTGAAAGGTCGCACGAGGGAGAAATCACGCGGACTGCGCTCGTAAAAATTTCCTACGGCCGCGCCTTGTTGTATTTCCTCCCGTGAATATGGATTTTACTTTGTACACGTACATCCTCTCTCCCTCCCCCCTCTCTCTCTCCCCCAGGATAATACTACGGAACAGTTCATCCGCCACCTTCGGATTGTACCGCCGGACTCGCATACACATGCTTTGAATTTTATAGATCGCGCACGATAAGACCGCATTGAATATTCTCTTGTAGGATTATTGATATGTGAATTATGCGCATCGCATTTCAATTTGCTTAACCCTTCCACCGTCGCGCCTTTATTTTTCGAGAGAAAGCTCTGAATTTTTCAAGAGTCATTCTTACATAGCTTTGCAAATTTAACGACGCTGAATCTTTTTCAGAGTTAAATTATAGTAATTAATTAATTTTCCTGATACACACTCGAATATATGCGGATGTCATATTTTTGCCAGAATGCATTTGCTCGTGTTCCAAGCGAGGTAATGGTCTTTTTCACGCTGTTTAGAAATATTACCATCCGGGAGCACGTGTTTTGTTCCAAGTACATTAAAAAAGTGAAACAGTGATAATAATAAAAAAAAAATCTAACATTTTACAGTGTCAGTTTTTTTGCAAAACTACACATGCTTTCAGAATAATAACGCAAACAGCAAACGCGAGCTTTATGAGAACTGCAATTTCTGCGTCGCTTGCTGCGCTTTACAAGTCACGTTGCATGATCGCGCGTCAAATTGCGGCGATTATCCGTCAACGATTAATCGCGCTTGATGCGAAAAAGCTCGTCGAGCTCGTCGATCTTTCTAAAAGCACTCGTCGGAAACGCTCTATTCGCGCTTCGAAAGCCTCTGCCGCATTGTTTTAAACGACGACGAACGTATGTACCGCCTCTCGCCATTGTCGCGTACGATGCGCACGACAGCTCAAGAGAACGATGGATTCACCGATATAAACCAAGCCAAAGAGCGCAATTTCTTGGCAGCTCGGTCGCAGTCGATACGCCAGGGCGTTCTCGGCATTTCTGCACGTTCACAAGCTTTCGCATGATGTGTCGGCGAATCTTTCCAACGGTGTTCCACCGTCAAGGATACGCCGCTGAGAGGAAAGTCCTAAATCCACCAGAGGCGTTCCCGAAATCGCGCGCACAAACGGAGATAAAGTAAATGGTACAATCATTGATCCTCTCCTTTTTTTCACCTTCCCTTTCTCAAAGGCTGCCCGAATTTATAAACTTCTATTAAAGATAACATCTACATTTGTATTGATCGACGCGTCTAAATTTATAAATTTCTATTTAGAATAGTTTTTACATTTTTGCCGATTTTTATTTTTAGTAATTATACTAAATTATAATTAATTTATTTCTTTCAAGTGTATCGAAAATATTCAAATTATCAATACTTTATAAATATAATTATGTAATTGTAATGAATACATTCTCACTCATCGGTTGTTATATCCTAGCTAAGCACGCTCTCAGCTGTACCTGAAAAAATTAATATATCAATAATGTAGTTATAAATTATTATATACATTTTAATGGATAATAAAAATTATTTTTAATTCTTGTCATTTTGCTGTTCATATGCGATAAATTATGTAAACAATTATTAAAAAATTTTAATAAATATTTTATATAAATGTTTTTTACTTATTTTAATTAATATTTTTCAACGTCTTAATATATATTTAATAAATTACAATTATGTAATTTTGTGCCAATCCAAATATTGTACAATTAATTGTGCTCACCAGCACTAGAATATTGCAGTTTGCTCCGCTCGCTGCAAATTCCGCCTTAAATAGCTCCGCAACAGCTCCATCGAAAAATCGACGAATATCCAAAACCCGCGCTTATTGTCACACACTTTACCGAACGGAACTCGACTCGGATACTTATAAGAAAATCACGAATTCACGTCGCGAACTTATCACACCGCTGTGAAATACAAGCGTGAGGACGTTTAAAATACACCGTACGTTGCAACGTATCCACGCACATAAACGCAATTTCTTTAGCAGGTTATTTAAGAAGTAAAATTATTGTTACCTTACACGTTCGACAGTCTATATTTGGCATTGTATACATACTTCCAACAAGCGAGACGAACGATTACCGCGGCAGTCAGACAAAGGTTGTTACGATACGCACATAACAAGTGTTTAACCTGATCTAAATTCCAATAAATTTCTAGCATAGTATATCTCAAGTATCACGTTTTAATCAATATGAGTGAATGTAGCGTTCTTTTTCATATATTTATGATGTCGAAATCTGTATTCACTGGAATTGTGTATAACCTATTTCAATCCACGGTGTAGCGATCGATGAAACGTTGTTAATCGCGAATTTCAGCGATAAATAATACACTCCGGTATTCGTCCATCATTTCAATCGACACTCCCGATAAAAACTCGCACTCGTTACGCACTTTTAGCGGATAAAATACGCAATTAATCACGGAGTACTCAAGCTTTATATTCCGAACTGACGCATCGTATAGAAATGTAATAACGGCCGGAAGATGGCGCATGTAGCGTACATATTTCGATATATTTGATGCTACATCTATCTGCCCGTAAATTATGATTTTTATTTGCGTAATTAATTGTAATTGCGAATTTCAAATATCAAAATTTTCAATAGAGTTGATGCAAGACAGTCTAACAAAAGAATCTCACGAATACAAAAACTCTGATTTCAATAAAACTTTGCACACATATAAATAGAATAAATACATAAATATAAAAATTTTCAGTTTGTGCCAAAAAAAATTTAAAAGATAAAAATCCTTCAAAGATTTAAAAATTTTTTATTTTCTTTAAAATATCTCTATTGCAACTAATAACATTAAAAAAGAATAATTTTTTTAAATTTTGCTTTTGACATCCTTTATATAAAAGAAAATATTTTGCGTTATAACATAATAGAAAAATTTTAAATCTAAATATACTAATAAAGTGATTAAATTACAGTAATTAAAAAAAACTTTCTATGTGTAGCAAACAGAATATGCATCAAGATGCGCGTAATGGATAATTGTAATAAACATATTTGTGTTTCTAATATGTGCAATTATTATCATTATGCATTATAGGAAATACATCTCAAATATGTAGCGTGAAAGCTCTTATGGACGTCACAGCGTTAGCAATAGAACAAATTAGCATGAGATACACTACGTGTACAAGTATCTCAATATATACTCTGTTCGCTACGTACAGATAACCGTTACGAAACATTAAAATCGTTTTTGGCACTAACTAAGAATTTTTATACTCATAAATTTATCCCTTTTACATGTGTGCAAAGTTTCATTACGATCATTTCCGAGTTCGCGACGTTCCCTTGCTAGTAAGCAAAACTGAAACGTACGCACAGTGGGAAATTTAAGTGATGGTAAAACATCAGGTTTGAAAGAAGTCCGGATTAAATATATAATATTTATATAAAAATTACACAAAAACAAATGAGAAGTGATTAAGTATTATATAAAATAATAAATAATAAAATAAAAGAATTAATTAAATAAATTAAATAAAAGTTTAATAATAAAATAAAAATAATAATAATAAAAAACTCCTTTATATGTGTTAGATTGAATAAAATAAAGCATTAATAACGTAAAAAAAAACATGAATGCGAGTACATTAATAAGATAATATTATAAACACACATTACCAAAATTATAGTATTGCATATTTTCTGCATATCAAATATAGAAACTTTTGACTATCAAATACATTTGATATTTTGTTATTATTAAAACGATAACAAAGAGGAAATATAAAATCAATTAAACGAACTTAACTCTAAATTAGTATATATTGGATAGAATAAATCTCAATACATTTATTTTAAAATGCCATCTTATTAATAATAATTTGTCAGTTTCGCACTGCATTTGTTATAGCCCATTAATTACCCAACAATTTTAAAATCAGTATTTACTGAAAACCTAATATAATATATAATCATTTATATATAACATTTTGGGCATTATCTCCACAAAAGTTATAATGTCAAATTCATATTACATGAAACACGTAAAATAATGAAAAGATACTCAAATATAAAAATATCATAAAATAAAGTAGCACTCAATTATTTGACAATGTTGATTAATGAATGGTTATTAAATCGTACATGGTTGCAAAAATTACATTGTTCGTAAAATCGATTTACGTTATAAACACAAATATTTAAAAACACTTATATAATAATTATATAAAAAATAATGTAGATACATATATATACATATATATATACATCATTATTATTTTTTATATATATAAAAGTGATAAAAAATATATATATTATTTATACATTATATATATATACATACACATAGTAATTGTATAGTATATATATATATATATATATATATATAATATATATATATAATAATAATAGTAT